TATTCAGATGGATTTATAGACTGTTGGACCTTTTGCTATCACTTAATTCTGTACTATTAGTTCCGCAACACTGAGCCTACAAGCCTTTGACTTGATGGTTTATCTAATTTGAAAGAGCATAGTCCAGTTTTTAGGCATTTCAAGATTAGCAATGCAGAATATGTACACATGTAATGGCAGGTAAAAATCCCACACAAACAGGACACTGATAAGACTGGAATTTTGAGATATTTCATTTTTCTCTTGTGTGAATTGAAAAAAAAGTTTATGACAGAAACAATATAATAAATTAGTAACTTGAGTCTTGTTTTGTGCTTATATTTTTAAGCCCCCATAAATGAAGTTTCGGGGGTATATAGTTTTTGCAGTGTCCGTCTGTCTGTCTAGCTGTTTTTCCGCAAAAACTTTAACCTTGCCCACAACTTTTGATTTAGTGGAGCTATGACTTTCATATTTCACATATGTATTTCTTGTGTTAAGACCTTTCATTGGACACTATCAACTTTGACTTTTGACCTTGGAGATTTACATACTAATGAAAAAACTTTAACCTTGGCAATAACTTTTGAAGAGTAAGGGCTAGGGCTTTTATACTTCACATATGTAATTCTTGTAACAAGACCTTTCATTCAATACCAATAACCTTGAGTTTCTGACCTTGACCTGGGAGTTTAACCTACTTTTAAAATCTTTTTGACCTGAGCCATAACTTTTGAATGATTAGGGCTTCCCTACAAGTGGAAAGACTCTTCATTGGATACCAATAGCATTGACCGTTTGACCTTAATCTTGAATTACTTGTGGAAAAAACTTTAGCCTGGCCGTAACTTGGGAACAGATGGTGATAGGGCTTTCATGTTTCAGAATAATTATTGTATTTCCAGTTAGGAGACCCTACTTTGGATACCAATATATTAAATTTGCATTAGCTTTTCACATCTTCACTTTGTTGCCATATGGGGGCATCAGTGTTTCACAAACACATCTTGTTTGGAAATCTTGCATGCAAGTTTTTTTTTTATCAATAGTAGATTTGAGTGGGAATTCCTTCTCAAGGTCAAGTACACATATGTGAAGGTACTGAGTAACTCATTAAAAGTCATGTGTATACATATAGTTTACAGATTATCAGACACAAATATGAAGCCCACTATTTTAATTTCACATACAGTATATAGGTATATAGTAGCTCCCATATTTTGAACATGTATTTCCTATGTTGGTGAACAGTATTTGGGTCTACAATTTTAAAATGTATAAGACAGAGCCTCAACTTCTCCAACATTCCTTCCATTACATGTTTGCCATTCAAGTCCAAAAGAACATCAGAAAAAAAAATAACCAAAATTTAATATCTATTTAATTTTAGTACATTCTATCATAGACCTAAATCGAAGGAATCGCCGACTCCTATGACGTCACAATAGATATCACTATACGATCTCCCTCCGATTGCAGCGCCCTCACAGGGAGGTACAGAAAACATCCGGCAGTACAAAGATAATGTTATTTACGATCTACATTGAGATATTATAGCATTGAATGAATTAAACTTTTTTTCGAATGTACGAAATTCTTTTTACTAATACACCAAAGAGTTCCTTTAGCAGCTTTTGAGGTATTTATCTTGGTTTTAATGTGTAAAAAAAGCTATACGGTTTGACATGACAGATGATCACTCTGATCACAGAGAAGCTGTCAAAATGCATGCGAGGTTGCTCAAGATGCTGCTCGATGAAAAAAAGTTCATATATAAGAAACAAATAGGCCTATTAATACGTGGACTTTTTAAAGAGCAAAGATCTTATAATTTACATATCAGTGTTTGACTCCTCATGTGACACCCTATCATGACTATGGTACAGTAACACGAGTAAGGAGGTATGGAAATTTATTCTTTGACAAGCGTATAGCCCCCCCCCATTTTTTGCAAAGATATACATAATGTAGGCATTGATCATTGGGGCATAGGTTCACCCCCCCCCCCCCCCTCCCTCTTCCCCAATTTCGACAGGCACGTTATAGTTTAAGCCAAAAAATGGATAATTGCGATTAAGTTTCCCTAGTGTTTGGGTAAAAAATTGGTACTGAAAGAAGTTCGATATTAACCCCCCCCCCTCCTGACAGGATTTTTGAGTTTGTACAAAATGGACACATTTTCCTTCTTTTTTTTTATGCTTTTCAAACTTTTTATGGGTTTGAATTTTAGCACAGGGCTTAAAGGTAGTTCAATATTTATGTGCACAAATTTGATGCATCTTTTAAAAAAAAATGAAGAAGAAGGGAAAGTTGATCCTGGGGCATTTAAATGATTCTTTTAATATAAAAAAAGAACATTTTCCCTAACTACATAACATGGTATAGGGAGTATAATTTCATAAAAAAGAAAACAGGAGGCCCATGGGCCACATCGCTCACCTGAGAAACTTTGGCCATGCTGTTCTTTAACAGATTTCCCCCCTTTGGAATACAAATTGTGACCACGCCCTACCATCAGGGGTCATGATTTGGACAATTAATAATCTACACTACCCCAAGATGGTTTCACATAAGTTTCAGCTTTTCTGGCCCAGAGGTTCTTGAGAAGAAGATTTTTAAAGTTTTTTCAAAATAATTCTATGTAAAACTTGTAAAACTATTGTGGCCCCGCCCTACCCCAGGGGTCATGATTTGAACAATTTAGAATCTACACTACCCCAGGATGCTTCCACATAAGTTTCAGCTTTTCTGGCCCAGTGGTTCTTGCGAAGATTTTTTAATGACCCCACCCTATTTTTGTATTTTCTTGATTATCTCCCCTTGGAATGGGTCTTGGCCCTTGGTTTTAACAATTTAGATTTCCATCTACCCAAGGACGCTTTGTACCAAGTTTGGTTAAAATTGGCCCTGTGGTTCTTGAGAAGAAGTTGAAAATGTGAAAAGTTTACAGACGGACGGACGGACGACGGACAACGGGTGATCAGAAAAGCTCACTTGAGCTTTCAGCTCAGGTGAGCTAAAAAAGATAAGATTTACAAGTGCCTGTGTGTTTTGAGCTACAGTAAGTTATTAAAACTTCTATTTAGGCAGTTGGTTAAAGATCAAACAGTTTAATCACAGTGGCAGTAAAACTGTATATGTATATAAAATAATTACTCTCTAGTTTTTGTTTTTCAAAGCTGCTGATAAGATTGAACATGATGCTCATCGATTATTATTTTGTACTTTGCAGATGTGATTGATTACAATGAAAATTAAAAAAAAAGACATTAAATATGTCATCCATGTACATCTAAAGCAGTGCTCACCAGTATATATAAGCTCACTGTACATGTTGAAAAGGAAAAGTCTAAAATTAAATATAACACCGATTTTAATAATATTTCTGTCATATTAATAAGTTATTTAATATTTATATTGATGCAGTTTGTCTTTGAATTATGATATACAAAAATCATTAATAATCACATTCTGGATATACACAGTATAGCTGAAAAAATTGGAGTTCTAAACATGATAATTAAATCATTGAAATCCAGTCATGTGCAACTCATCCATGCATACATGGGACACACCACTTGGCACTTTTGTTGATTTAATCCTGTGCAGGTTTTTAACCAATCATTGTTCTGTCACATTTAACTCATCATAGCAGATGGTACATTGCATGGTACATGTTCTAAAATATTTTCCATAGAGTTTGGTGTGCAAGGTAGACTCCCATTCTCATTTGAGGTGTTGACAGGCTATCTACAAAACCTGTGGGGAAAAAATAAAATAAAAAATCTCTTAGAAAATCTTTTCATCACTGACAATGTTGTAATCCTTAATTGAAATATTATTAAGACGATTAAATAAATCTTTTAAGAGTTATAACCAACTTTTTAAAAATACATAATTATGTAAATCATTAACAAGAACATTTAGTCTCAATTTTAAGTTAATAAGTTGTTGATCTAAAACCTGTAAACGGCACTTCACCACAGGTGCTTGAGGACAGGACTCCCCTTCGATATAGATCCCAGGGCTTTTTTCAACTTTCTTTTTCATAAATAATCTTTCATTGTCATATTTGTAATAAGATCAATACCAACAAATCGAAATATTACCTAAACAAACGTGTCTATAAAATCTACCCTACAGTGTTAATTTATATGTAGCGAGTGGGGTAAAAAAATTTATAACATGTTAGTTTAAGCAAATTTTCTGAATTGATAGGATAGATTATATCACAAATGTGTCATCCATAAATAATTTATGTGAAAAAAATCTAAGAAGCCCATAGGGGTCTATATTGGAAGGGGGGGAGGGGGGTAACGTGGTCCTGTCCTCAAGCATCTGTGCACTTCACAATGTATTTATTATTTGTATCAATTCAGCATAGATCTGAAATTGGTCGTTGTTCAAATATTGGTAGATAAATTTTGTCCTTATTTTGTAAAATAATTAAGAAAATAATCATGTCGTACCGTAAAATGTAGTCGACAGCATTCAAGAGATGTCACGTCGTAGTCAGTTGATGTCTGCAATTTAAAAAAACGTTTCCTTCGACTCCATAGCGTAAAGTTATAACTTTCGAAGTAGTAAATCGAGATCATTTCGTCGAAGAAAGCTTAGATAAATGAATGATATTACTAATTTGTAGTTATTTCCTTAAAGAATGCAAAAATTCGTGATTCGACAGCATTGATTTCATTACAGGAAGTCTGTTTCTATACATCCCGGTGAGGACGCTGTAATCGCAAGAAGATAGTGATTGTGACGTCATAAGTCGGCAGTCCCTTCGATTTAGGTCTATGATTCTATCCCTCCCACCACTGTCTTGAGTGGCAATATTTGGTCTTTATTTTCAATTTTGAGTAAATATTACAATTTAATAATGTACCTCTTGTCACTAAATGGGTAAGTCAATAACACATCATTACCAGACAACTTTAAATAAAATAAATGTGCAAATTACTTTCAGGAAAAATAAACAAATCTAATTGCAAAATATTCAAATAGCAAATGCATAAGTGGCCCTGACCTACCCGTAAAAGAAAAGGGTATGATTTGACAAAATTGAACCTACACTAAATAAGGATGCTTTTATATTTTTGACTTTGGCCTTTTTTACTACAAGTTTGAACTTTCAGTGTGGCCCTACTCTACACCCAAGGGGTCATGATTTGTACAAACTTGAATCTACCCTATCTGACAATGATTCCATATGAGTATTCACCTTTCTTGGCCCAATGGTTAAATAGAATATCAAATGTAAATATTTCAATAATGAAAATAAAAAATGCGTCACTTCAAATAAAGTGTTAAATATTGTTAAAAGGACAAAGATCATGGAACAATAGGAACAACACATGCAATCTTTCATCAAGAATTCTCTGGAATTTGTCAAGACTCTTTTTTCTTCTAAGTTATTCACATTGCAACTTTTTGTCCAGGCCAGCACACTCTTCTAACAAGATTTCTCTGATTTTTTTCACGGCTGTGTTTTCCTTATCTTCCAACTACAAGATTTTTTTTCCATAGGTCTAAAACTTCTGATGTGCTTAAAGTCTATCAAGGTGAAGTTCAAACTCCAACATCAAATTTATGGTTCCTGAACCCTGAAAAATAACATTAAAAACAAAATAAGAGTTTTTATAATGATCATTGACACCATAATCATGGAATAACGATAGGATGGAGAGTTTTATGTGCCCGGATCAATAGATCCAGGGCGTCTATTGTGTTTGTCCTGTCTGTTTGTCTGTTTATCTGTTTGTCTGTCTGTCTGTCTGTTGTCATCTTTAACCTTCACCATAACTTACGAACCATAAGAGATAGAGACTTCGTATTTGGTATGCATACTCCACAAATAAAGTTCTTTCAAATGACACCAGAGTCAATGACCTTGTGACCTTGACCAAGACCTATATGCTAAAAACAGCTTTCACAAACACATCTTGTTTTCATGATACGTATGACAAGTGGAGGGCACCCAATGTAACCGCAAACTGGGTTTTTCTTGTTTGAACAGACCTGGCATTAAATTCTGACATGAATAAAAAAATGTCCATTTGCAAGTTATTTCCCTTTATCAAAAAAAACCTCCTTATTTTTTCACAATTACTTTGTAACTTGCATGAATTTAAAAAAAAATATTTGAACTTCTTTTGACAATTTTATTACGCATCTTTATTGGCAAAGTATGAGGCAACACCCCCCCCCCCCCCACACACACACACACACAAAATGAACATACACTAGGATATTTTGCACAGAAATGACTAAGGTCAACTAAAAGACCAATGGGTCACATTGCTCACCTTAGCTCTTTGGCTTTCAGTATTGAAAAGTAATAATTCATACTGGGCCTTATTTAATCCTAAGGGAAGGGGCAGCGGGCATGATTTGAACAAGCTTAAATCTACACCAACTGATGATGCTTTCTATTTCTTTGACTAATCATGGCCTTAGAAGATTTCTAATGTTCTTTCCTTTGTATTCTTGTGTAAAACATCGATTTCCATTGTGGCCCCACGCTAATCCTGGGGGTATGATAAACAGATGCCAGACACTATGTCTTCCTAGTCCGAAAAGTTTACTTGAGCCTTATGTTCTTTTCAAATGGAGAGTATAATTCACAGTAAATTTATGCAAAGTAAAATAATGCAAATTCAATTGCGTTCACATGACAGCTAAAGTGAAGTAAACTAATGTGAATCAAAATTTTATTTTTACATTAGGGCAATCAGCAATGCTATTATGACGTCATTTGTTATTCACATCATGTGTGCCAAGCAGATTCAATTGAATTAAAAATCATAGTGTTTGTTATACAATTTAGTGATTAGTATAATTTTCCTTTATTTTTCAACCAAAAATAGCACTGATACCTAAATCTAACTATTGACATGCAGCCTGTGACTTAATTCAGGTCTTGTGCATGCAAAATTTAATTCGAATTAGCTTCGCTTAGCGTTCACATTGAGCTAATGGGAAGTAATTTAATGCACAGTAAATTAATTCTTAATTCAAATTAAACTTATTCGCATTAAATTCTCCATGTGAATGCTGTTCACATTTAATTTGAATGCAGTAACTTACGTTTAATTCGAATTAAACTCTCCGTTTGAACAGGGCATTAGACTCAGGTAAGTTAAATTGCAAATAATTATTTGTGAAGTAGATGACTGTCTGTTCTAAACATACCATTATGTTTCTGGAGAATAAAAAAATTATAAATCTCGATGTAAAACTTTCCAAGTACCCGGCCGTTACATTTTCTTAACCCCCCCCCCCCCCCCCCCCCCCCACCTGGATAAATCTGCCACTGTAATAAATATATGATTTTAATTTTATTTTTTTTCTAACCATTATTTTTCTTTTTACCTCAGTGTGTCATCTGCAATTCTTTGAGTTGAAAATCTTTTTCTTTCTTTTCAACACTGCCTGTTATCTTTCTTTAAAACCTGCATGCCTCTAAAAATCAAGACTCTTTGTTGCTCCTAAAATTAAATGTACATGTGCAAATAATTCTTTAAAAGCTACAGCATATTTTCTTTTTCTCATGGTGACTGATGATTGAAAAAAAAATGTAGAATTTCAGAAATTGTCAATTGACTTTTAATGGCAGTGGCTTGAAAACAGAATTGAAAAATTGTTTGTTTTTTTTTTAAATCATTGAGCAGGTGAGTTAAAAACATATCCAACACACGAATGATTCCTGAATGTGTTTAGTGATTTATTGTGCAGTTTATTGGTAGTTAATTGAACACACCCTGTAAATTGTTAAATTTAATAATAACATCGCTCTTGATAACAAACATAGGGCCGTCCATATGGAGCAGTGGTTAAAGCGTTTGCTCTTAAAGCTGCAGAGAAAGGAGTTGTCCCTTATATTTTGGGTTCGAATCCCACAGTGGGACGTAAAGACAGGTCATTTGAATGAAACCGTATAAATACAGGTCCTGCGTCAAAGTAGGTGCTGGCAAGAAAAAGATCCCTAGGCTCACTGTTCAATGGCCCTGAGTGCTGAGTAATAGTCAAAACCATGCATGGATCTAGAGGGAGGAGGGAGGACCCCCTCATTGAATTATTAAATTTATATACTAAAGCAAGAAAAAAGTTACCTTGGACCCCCCTCGGAAAATGCAAAATCCCCTGGTAAATGCAAATTTGTGTGTGTTAAATTAGTAAGAAAATTCAAAGGTTTGAAGCATTAGAGCATTAGAAGTCTTCGACTACCCACCCACCCAACACGAAATAGGTTTTTGAAGTTTGGGCGAGTTTACGTGGACCCCCCCCCCCCCTTCCACCGCAGCATCTGGATCCGTGCCTGTGTTAAACAACAAACAAACAGGTGTTTGCTGCCAAAGGCATGCATTGATGCAATCTCAATCTCGGATTCTCCTACACAAAAGTACAGAGATAATTCGAACTAGTTTCTTCCGAAGCTGTCGTTCAATAACAGCATACTGAAAACTGATTTCTGAGACATTTCCTTTAACGAATGAATTTAATTTACTTACTTGTACATTTATATAACAAAATCATCTTTACTTACCGGCAAACCGCCTGCCTTTCACTGGCGCCGAACTCGGCACTGTTGATAGGGAAGCACATGGCCTTGAACCACGTGATTGTCTTCGGCAGACAAACGTTTACTTTTTCAAGCGTCCAAATAATTTTGAATAATTGTGCTGTACATCAATTGCAAAATCACACAAAAGTTTGATTTCAAGCGTCTAAATAATAACATTGTTTTTGGACGCGATTATTATTGTTGGAGTAACACAGATTATAATTGTATGATCGATGTGGAATATAATTGTTATAAATTTGAAGCGAAATGAAAATAATGTGTTTGCATGGGCAAACAAGATTATAATTGTTAAAACTTAAGTAAGAATAAGTATTATAATTTTGAGGTGAAATAAAGATAATGTTTTTAAACATCGATTGACAAGATAATAATCATGAGGCGAAAAATTATAACAATGTGTCTACATATTGACTGGCAAGATCATTATTGTGAAGTGAATCATTATAATTGTAAGACAAAATAATAATGTGTACACATTTAACTGACAAGATTATAATTGTTGCAGGAAAATAATAATAATGTTGTAAAAAAGCAGGATTTTTAGTTTTGGATGAGATAATTATTTTTGGTATGATTATATAGGAAAAAATAATAATAATGTAGGGGTACCCTACGGCTTTCCATAAAATAACAAATGCAGAGGCACTTATTACGGTAATAAATATTGAATCTATTATATTATTTAATAATACACAAGGTTTTTAACTCCAAATTACACGGAGTACCCCCTACCCCATAATCGCATTCATTTCCAATTTCAGCGGAAATTCTCTTACTATCAAACTGTTTATAACCATTGTCTTTTATGATAACTTATCTACATTGTACAGAGAGATATATGGCATGCTTGCTTTTATTTCATATAACCGCCGTAGACAGCGCAAGAACTCTTTAAGCTGAGTGTAATGTCGAATCACCGCCATGAAATGGTATGTGCTTAACTCGGACAGGAGCAAAATATTGAAGAAAAAAAAATGACTTACTAGTCCCTGTGTAAACACATAACACCTTATTTAGTATTCTTGGTTACCTTTGAAGTAACTTTTATCCTTTTATATACTGAAAGGAAAAAGAAACACAGGGTAGCTTAATATTCGACAAAAATTTGACCGCATGACCGAAAATTACGAAAATTTGTCAGAAGAGAAATTTAGTAACTATGCACCAAAATCAGTGTTCAGAATTACTCTACCGTAAAATGTATGACGTCACAAAGGGAAAGCGCTTAAAAGCCCAAAACACGTGCAATTTGATGACGACGAGTTTGCTGACAAATCTTGTTGCATTATTTGATGCACCTGAGGTATGCACATCGTTTCTCAATATCTAGAGACAACATGAATTTCTTCCAATCTTGGTACGGGTAACGGAAGTTCATTGGGGTTTGTTTTCGAATTGCCTAATTAATAAAAAAGGCAACAACGGTTAACCATGCAGTATCTTGTAAATTTTCCCCCATAAAACTTGATACCCATTGTCAGAGAGGGCCTGGAATGATTTTTAATCAACCGTGACGGTGACGTTTACACGAAACAGAGCCATATTACGAGCGGGTTATGCGTCCTGTCATCTCTTAAATCGCCATCTTACTAACACAAAAACTGCGATTTATACACTAGACTATTATAATCATTACCTTTACACGAAAATTGAAAGAAAAGAATTCCGCAATTTGGTTTTTTGAGCCGGTCAACTTTTTGTTGGATTCCCCTCACTGGCGCATGCACGCGTCGTTTGACCTATTTTTTGGCGTGTTTTCCTATGCCCAATATAGTCAGGGTTTGAAAGATAAACACTTTGATGAAATTCCATGCAAAGGAGAAATAAGGCTTTGGCAGATGCACGAGGGAGACATTGAAGATAATGAAAGTTTCGGTTTTCACTTTTGGGGGGTATCGTCATAAGAGCTTCCATAACTCATGAATTATTGGACAAAATCAAATGAGATTTTGCTTACATCTTTTTGAAAGATAATTGCGGAATTGCCAAATTGCGGAATTCTTTTCTTTCAATTTTCGTGTAAAGGTAATGATTATAATAGTCTAGTGTATAAATCGCAGTTTTTGTGTTAGTAAAATGGCGATTTAAGAGATGACAGGACGCATAACCCGCTCGTAATATGGCTCTGTTTCGCGTAAACGTCACCGTCACGGTTGATTAAAAATCATTCCAGGCCCTCTCTGACAATGGGTATCAAGTTTTATGGGGGAAAATTTACAAGATACTGCATAGTTAACCGTTGTTGCCTTTTTTATTAATTAGGCAATTCGAAAAAAAAACAAGACCCCAATGAACTTCCGTTACCCGTACCAAGATTGGAAGAAATTCATGTTGTCTCTAGATATTGAGAAACGATGTGCATACCTCAGGTGCATCAAATAATGCAGCAAGATTTGTCAGCAAACTCGTCGTCATCAAATTGCACGTGTTTTGGGCTTTTAAGCGCTTTCCCTTTGTGACGTCATACATTTTACGATTGAGTAATTCTGAACACTAATTTTGGTGCATAGTAACTAAATTTCTCTTCTGAAAAATTTTCGGTCATGCGGTCAAATTTTTGTCGAATATTAAGCTATCCTGCGTTTCTTTTTCCTTTCAGTATACATTTAATTAATGTATGAAAAAATGTGTGAAAACAGACCCTGGTCTACCTATATTCCTACATGTATAAATCGACATTATTTAAAACCTGCAAAGATATTTATTTTTAAAAGAAATCACTGGATTATATTTAAAGGAATGTTTTATGACATATATCTCTGCAAAGTATGGTTATTTTGTAATATTTTGAATGGTAAGTTATTAACATTGTTTACAACTTTTGTTGGACAATCCTCAAATAAATAATAAAATAAATCAAAGTATAGAATTAATACAATAATAAGAATATTACCATTTACGGTTATGTTAAAGAGACAACTTGCACTTTCGCCATGTTTATCTGTTGCTACAAAATACCAACTTTTCCATCCAGGACCGACTCTGATTGGATTAGGAATACCTGGCTGTGAAGTTGTGACACTGGAAGATGAAAATGTCTAAATGTCAACACGTTGTATCATATGTACCACATCTTTTTTAACTTAACCTAAGATGATTGATATCGGGTGGGGGAGGTGGGGGGGGGGGGGGAGGGAGAAATTTTAAACAACACGAAAAGATTTTCTTCCATATGAATTTGATCACAAATGTTTTTCGTATTGTTCAGTGAGAAAAATATTTTTATGTTTTCCTTTATATACTTTTAAAAAATTTGATTACTTCTAATGGCTGCTTTCTACACATTTAGGGGGACAAGATTTGAAAGAAATCTTTATAAACAATTTGAAGATGTTGCCATACTAATACAACTGATCGCGATTGTGAGCTTGCTGCACTTCAAAGAAAACTTTTAAAGTTTTCTTTTGGTAATATGTGCATGCCAAATAACATGATATTATTAAACGTTTCTTTTAGCAGTGTAAAATTAAAAAAAATTACCCTATGGAAGGTTCTTGTGGATCAGAAGCAGTAGCCCATTTCCATGAAACATTGGCATAGTTGTGTCCTTTCGGGGCATCCATAAATATAGGCGCAGGGCATCGTATGCTGGGTCGATCATTGAACACTTGAAACATTTATGAAACAAATATACTGTTAAAAATCGTTCTTTTTCAAATATATGAATTAAAATTCATTTACTTTAAATTTTAAAAAAAGTGTACATTCGAGTGTTTAAATGTAACACTGACATTGGACCGATAATTGTTTTAGTTTTTACAAAAAAAGCTTGAATCAATGACGTGAGTCTATGCATTCATACCCTGAATAATTCATTTTTCAAAATAAAAAAAAGTTGAGGAATATATATATATTTTTTTTGCTTCTCATATGCGAGATATTTAATCATGCTGTTAAATTAACATGGGTGTATCTTTCTTTTCCCAGTTTTCCTTTCAGTTGCCATTATATAAATATTGCATGCAGTTGAGTGTAACATTGGAAATTATCACCGCGCCTCAATCGGTTGACAATGGTTTTCGAGGGATGAAAATTATCAATGTTACACTCAACTACATCCAATATTTATTTTATTATACTGAATGTTTTATACAAACACATAAAAAAAGTGAACCGTACGCGCGTAAATTCTGCACAATGGCTATTTTTTTTTAATATCACCCGTCGTCGAGAAGTGTTGACTATTGCTACGCTGGAGGGCGTGGATTCATTATTCAGCGGTAATAATGTTTTTTTAACAAATGTTTCTCGACCAATCAGATTCAGCTTATTTACATGAAAGTGTACTATTTATCATAAGAACATTTAAATATTTTGAAGTCGTGCACAGAGTATGTTGTCGAAAATCTGAAAACAAACAAGAGGCCAATGGGCCTGAGAATCATGCAACAACTTTCAAATGATAGAATTTGGTTCATGTTTTAAGGTAGATTCCATGGCATTCACAATTTTGAAAGAGGCTGGCACCATTGCTAACCATAACTATGAACTTAGCGATTGCTTTGTTTGGTTACTTAAAGGGGCTGGGTGGCCATGGCCATTTTAAGACTATTTCGATCTCTTTCGATCTCCTTAAGAAGAAAAGCTCCATATAAAGATATACAATAATAGTCAAATTTTAAAGCTTATATGTATGAAATTTCTCTTTGTCAAATGATAGTTGACAGCTAAATATATCATATCTAAAAATACAAGTTATATATGGTTGTTAATTTGTTGACCCTAAAGCCTCGGAGTCCTTAATACCCAAGGGCAGGGTAAAGGGAACAGAAAAATGCATATCAATTGATCAGTAATATTCAGCAATAATCATAATCATAAGTAACTCTACCACACATAAACCCCTGACCCTAGGTCCACACATTGCACAATTTTTGAAAAGGCACACTTGGTTATCAAAAATGTTTGATTAATACCAGATTTTAAACAATTCATTTTCAGTATATAAGTAGACCCCCCCCCCCCCTTCATGGTATTCATGAAATTCATAAATCTGGAATAACCCGTGCACATCATAACTATATAAGTAGTTAATCTGCTTATTACCCAGAAGAAGAAGATTTTCAAAGAATTAATGTATTTTCACTATATAATCATTATACAGCCCCACCCTAACACCAGAACCCCTGAACCTGAGGCCATGAAATTCACAATTTTGGTAGAGGCATTCTTGCTCATCATAACTACGAGGGGTGATCAAAAAGTTCGCGAACTATTTGAATAACTTCCATAAAAGAAACAATATTTGGTTTTAATGTTGATTATATTTTAAAGTAATCCTCCCCGATTTTAATGCACATCGACCACCGTTCTGCGCATGCGTGAATCACGTGCTATTGGCGGTCACGTGACCCCCTCCGTAGCGTTCTGTCACAAAAGTTGAAAGATTTTTCTAAGTTTTATATTTCTTTCCATGTAAGTTAATTTTTATGACAAGAACAATTCATTTGTCAGAAATGGTCATATCTTGGCAACAGAATGGGTGGATAAGAATAATTATCCTTTCCAAAAATAAGCATGGCGACCATTAAAACACAAATCTTCTGTCTCGGGAGAGACCTTTATTCAAGGTGGATAGAGAATGGGTGCCTCCTTTTTATCATGTCTAATATGTTTAAAATCTAAAGTAAACGATATCTTAGGTATTTAATACTTATATTCTTGTTTAAATATTCAACTATTTTTCAAAGTGTTAATTGGAGGTCTTTGATAGGAAATTGCTTAATTAAAAATACATATCTTTTCAAACTTGCTTTCACTGTTCAAGATGACATGTATCATTTTTAACCATCAGCCTTCCTTCACTAAAACGATCAATCCAATCATTAATTGAATTTATAGGAACTCATTCATCTCAATAAACTGTGTACAAATTATTATATGATACTGTAGAGGGATTTCTAAGATATACAATAAATTGTACATAAAAACTTTATTCAGCATATGCTTTTTATAGAACTTGTGTACGGCTATATCTGTACCGAATTTCATTCTAATCTGAATTGTGGTTTTGTAGATATAGAGATAGTTCGCGAACTTTTTGGTCACCCCTGGTATGTACTTTGTTAGTTTATTTAATACCTAGGAGCACAGAAAAAGATTTTCAAAGAATTAATGCATTTTTCACTATATAATCAATAGAGCCCCCTCCTAACACCAGAACCCCTGACCCCGGGGCCATAAAATTCACAATTTTGGAAGAGGCACTCTTGTTCACCATAACTATGTACTTAGGTAGTTTAATTAATACCCAGAAGCAAGGAAGAAGAATTTCAAAGAATTAATGCATGATCACTATATAATCAATAGAGCCCCACCCTAACACTAGAACCCCTGACCCTGGAGCCATAAAATTCACAATTTTAGAAGAGGCACTCTTGATCATCATAACTATGTATAATACCCAGAAGCAAGGAAGAAGAATTTCAATGAATTAATGCATTTTCACTATATAATTAATACAGCCCCACCCTAACACCATAACACCTGAGCCTTAGACCCTCAAATTCACACAAAATTAGAAAAGGCATTCTTGCTCATCATAACTATGTAGTTAGTCAGTTTATTTAATACCCAGAAGCAAGGAAGAAGATTTTCAAAAATTAATGCATTTTCACTATACAATCAATAGAGCCCCACCCTAACACCAGAACGCCTGACCCTGGAGTCTTAAAATTCACAATTTCAGAAGAGGCACTCTTGTTCATCATAACTATGTACTTAGGTATTTTATTTAATACCCAGAAGCTGAGAAGAAGATTTTCAAAGAATTAATGCATTATCACTATATAATCAATAGAGCCCCGCCTTAACACCACAACCCATGACCCTGGCACCCTAAAATTCACAATATTTTGGTAGAGTCACTCTTGCTCATCATAACTACATATATGTACTTAGTTAGTTTATTTTATACCTAGGAGCAGAGAAGACGATTTTCAAATAATTAATGCATTTTCACTATATAATTAATAAAGCCCCACCCTAACACCAGAACCCCTGACCCTGGGACCCTAAAATTCACAATTTTAGAAGAGGCACTCTTGCTCATCATAACTACCGTAAATCTGGAAATTTTTACGTCGATTTTATTTTGCGATTTCGGGTCAAAATGGTGTTGATTAATTTTTACGTTTCAACATCTTGCGAATTACCACTGGTTTCTTTACATTTTCTTTTTGGTAATTTATTTTTAAGAAAAATATTTTTGCGAATGCAATGAACTCGCAAATTTGCTAAAAAATTATCTACAGCAAAAATTTCCAGATTTACGGTATGTACTTAGTTTATTTAATACCTAGGAGCAAAGAAGAAGATTTTCAAAGAAATAATGCATTTTCACTATATAAACTATTTAGCTCCGCCCTTGCACTAGAACCCCTGACCCTGGGGCCATGAATTTCACAATTTTGGTAGAAGACCGAATGCTGATTCCAATCATACCATCAGTTTGACTGCTTGATGTACAACGTAAATATTTGGTCATTACGTCAACCAAATAAATGACCTAAAGTTGGTCATGATGTCAACTAACTAAGTGACCAAATATTGGTCATTCCGTTAACCAATTAAGTAACCAAAAATTGGTCATTAACCATTACATAAACTGTGACCAGCGTAACCATCAAATCTCGACCAGTGACCAGAAAACCAATAGCGGCCTACGGGATCCGCTATTCAAATAGGTCTTGAACGGCCAACGTAAACCTTTTCAAAGATGTCGAGGAACGAAAAAGCGCTTGCGGAAGATGACCATAATACAGCACCAAAAGAACTATAGTTTATCGACGGTACTCCAAGCAAAGAATTCTTTTGTGGGCTAACAACAACGACCAGATAGGAAACGGCAGAGGAGTCAACTCAGGTACCCAAGACATTTTACACATAATACTACAAAAATGAAAAACTTTGAAGTCCCAAATGAATCTATTACAATCTCAAATGAGACCAACGAGTGCTAATAACCAATATGTAGACCAAAATTACGTGCAATCCAGTACCAGTACTACGTCTGAAGATGAGCAAATACAAAATTCACGACTTTCGTGATAATGAACATTCAAGGACAAGTTGGTTAATCCCGACAGGACCACGCAGTTATACTACCAATGCTAGGACCAACGAATTTCAGTCGACCATGCACAGCTTTGATTACGATGTGTACCACTTTATGGTCACACAAGACAGGCCCATGATTACGGATTCAGGCGTACATGTACCCAGGAACCTAAAGGGAGAAAATCAGCAATGTTCGATGGTACAATGAACTGGAACGACCATATAGTGCATTTGGACATGATCGCCAAATTAAACTACTGAAATGAGGAGACCAAGGCATTAGAATCGGCTACCAGTCTACGCGACCCGGCACTAAGAGTTTTGAGTGACATACGACCAGAAAATCGGTATAATTGTCGTCACGTTGTTACTGCACTGTCAGCAAGATTTAACCCAGAAAATCAAACAAAAATCTACAAGACACAATTAAAGAGCCGCATACGGAAGAAAAACAAAACGATCACAATTAATGCAAGCCATAAAGCGACTTACGAGGATGTCATACCCGAACACACCCCTAAGTTTCCGCGACCAGATAATCAAAGATTC